GATCCCCTCCTATATAGATCACCAGAAACCCTGTCTAGAGGGTGTATAGAGGGACAGTTCCACCAGGTATATATGAAGATACCTTTTTGTTTAGGTAATCCTTCCAGCATATATTAGAGTATAGCCTGAATATTTTGTTAAATCTAGATGAAGTGAGAGAGAGTATGTGCCGTGACTTGATGATGGTCTCTCTTATTGCCAAAGAAAAGGAAGTGGAATTGGGAATTGCATGAAATCCCGGAAGATCTATTGTCCTATATCCCCCCTCAAAATCAGAAGCTTATGAACAATAATTTAGTAGTCAGTCTAGTTAGATAATTAAAGCAAAGGAAAGTTAAGTATATGGCACAATTATTTTGCAATAAGAATGTATGTCTTTTATTGCTATAAATGAAATATTGGATAACAGACATAACAAATATCAATACATGCCACTAAGAAGTTTTTAGACACAATCTAACAGGCAACACTTGTCATTCATTTTCCAACAGTGTTCAAAGGACACTTTTTGTTTGAAAAAAATCATTAAAAAAATCAGCCCTCTTATCCCCTCAGGTGTCCCCATATAGGAACAGGGAGATATGTGCATGTTTCTAGAGGACAATTTTGTTCCTACAAGGGGAGCATTTAACATGCTCAGAGAAGGTAAAAAAAAAACCACTCCTAGTCTTTTCAGGTAATTCAAAGTTGGTTACAGGCTGCATTTTGGCCATACACCGGATGAATTAGACTTCTTCCCTAAGAGTTATCTGGAAGTATTTGCATTCTCAATGTGTTGGTGAATGGCTGATTTAGATTGCAGCAGTCTGTGTATATTAACTAACAACTACTCCATTTCAAAACTGATATTTTTTCCCCTTTGTACTAAGGTAACTGTTAAAAAAATAGCAATAAAGTAACAGAGGCTTTTCTGCATTTTATGCTGTGTACTGTTGCTTGTCTCTGTATCTTACAGTATGTAGTTCAAAGGTTAGAGATACTTCAAGTTATTGGGGGAACCAGTGGAGCTACATTTCATAAGCAGCCACCAGAATGAGTCAGGGCATGCATCTACATGTACGATTAATTAAAGCAATAAAGTCCAGCCCATATTGCGTCAGTTTATTGCTCCTGGGTGTGCCATTTGAATGTGTGCCCGTGACCATAGCACGCTGAGCCAGATCAGAGCAACCCCATCTGGCAGGGGGTCATCCTGTCAACCGGGGCTGCTCCAACCTGGCTCAGCATACTGTGTAGACGTGGAGACTTTAGTATGGAACTAATTAGGCAGCTCTGCAGTAAACATTTCATGTAGATGTGCCCTTATAAGACTAATTTTAGTACCTGTTACATTTGAGGAGGCATATTAATGGAATTATATGGTCTGCTTCCTAATGGAAATTCAGAGGAGTCTTCAAAACTGAAGTAAGTGTGCTTAGCAGTTTGTGACTGTGTTAAGAGTAGACACTCAGATTTTGATGTGTTTTATTAGTACCTCCAATTCCAAATACAAGTAGGTCAAAAGTCTAAGCAAGTAGGTTTGTAACATACTTTTCTATTACATAACTGCCAGTGAAACTGGCTGTAGGCTAATGATTAAACAACAACATTTATTTAACTAAGTAGTGCATGAATAATTACTATTTTGTGCATTTGAAGCACCTCTGGTGATGCTGAGGCGTATGTTTCATGCAGTTTCTGAACTGCAAAACAGAGTAACAAAAATGCTTGAAGAATAAAATGCAGATTTCTATAGCGAATAATATTCTAAATAAAGCCTAATTACACTTGCAATTTTTTTCCTCATGAAAGCTCATGGAATTTGACTAAGTACATTTTAAAAGTAGTTCCTTTGCTTTTGTGCAAACATTTGTGCTTAGCATTAATGCTTTTAAGGACTAAGGAAAGATGAAAATTAAAAATATTGCTTTGAATTTACAGAGGAATTATTCATTAATTGCATCTGTGAAGTAGTGAGAGATGATTTTATTCTTCATTTTGATCATCATAGGCCCAGAATCTGCAAATACATTATTTTGAGTCACAAGGAAAATGCATGGTTTGAAGATGGAAAGTAATACTCTGTTTTGTGAATACATTGATTCAAAGGCAAAGTTAATTTATTTACATCTGCTTTTCATTATTACATTGGTGCTTGCCATGCAGGCTTTAAATGGTTGAATAGCTCCATTTGCTCCAGTGGTACTTAATGTGTGGGAAGGCACTGTAGGTCTGAATCCTTTTCACTGATTATAGTTCTGAGTCCTAAGTAGTAGCCTTCTTAAGTCTCAGTTTGAGACAAAATTCATTCTAGTTTATAGTCAGGGCAGATCCAAGGGAGGTGCACTGGTTCACTTGCACCCACCTTTGATTCCTGGTCTATCCAAATTTTAAAGCCAACTGTCAACAGTGGCAGCAACACTTCTGTTCAGGCAGCAGAAAGGGAGTTAATTGACTTAATAGCTCATTATTATTTGCTTGATTCCTTCTAAACTCTTCATTCCACATGTGTTAACAATCCTCTTCCCTTTTAAATGGTTCCACTACTCCAGCTATCCTTACTTCTGTAATTCTTCTGTCTGCTAGCTGCTCCTAATAATGTAGCTCCCATTTTATAGCCCTGCAGGCTGCTTTTTAACTCTAACTAAAAGCATTAACTCAGGTATAGAAATATTAACTCAAGTGAACATTAGCTCAAATGTGGAAATCACTTTTAGTGAAGCACTGAAGGAACTGTCCAGATGCTCAAGGAGCCTTGACTTTGTTTTTTGATTCTGACAAAGAGACATACAGTAAAATCTCATTAATTGGAAACTCAGGGGACCAAAAAACCCATTAATTTTGAAATAAGCAGTTTCAAAATAAGTGTACTGATACTAATTTGAATATATGCAAAGCAGTATAGGTATCCACAGGCTTACTTCATCCACAATTAATGATTTTTACTTTTTTCCAAAATTTTACAAGGTTCAGTACAGGAATTTCATAAACATACTTTTGAGCATCACTTTTGTACCTGTTTATATATAATACAGAATGGGCGCATCTATATGACAACACGTTAGTGCAGCAGGCAGAGCCCATGCTATTGTGCAAATGAGGAGTAGACTTAGTCTAATGCACATTAACATCACAAAAAAGTGTTCATCTGTGCTAGTGCACAGTAGAACCAATTATGATGCATTAAGTTTAGTACCTGTCATTACAGGTGCTAAATTTAAAGCACTGTAATTACGGCACATTAATAAACATGTGAACACACCCACTATGTATGATATTAGTTAAAAACCAAAAGGCTTAGGATGTCATTCATTGGGCTGGGCCCCAGCAGAGTCAACAATATTTCAAGCCATGGTGACCCCATAGCCCAGCATTACTTAGTGTGCATGTATACTCCAGATACCCCCTCCCAACAAAAGACCCACCTGCCAATTAGCCCCCGACTTCTGACTGGAACCCAGTGTTCCTCTATCAAGTCCTGAGACTGTCCAAAAATGTATGTGCAGACAAGGTGCAGGGGAACCTGGTCTGGCTCCAGCTCCACTCTGTGGAGGGTGGGGCAACAACAGTCACATATGATGGGCCAAGAGAGGGGGACAACAGAGCCTCTTATCTATGTAGATTTTTGGTGATGTTTGTGTCACTGGTAGGTGTTATAGAGCCTTGGCCCCCTTTTGGTCGGTGCCTTGCCTGCCAGAGATGTCAGGGTGAGATCGGGCTTCAGTGCCACCTAGATGGTTCGGGTACTGCTCCTACTCGCCTGCCACATCTTTGATGTTCATTGTTGGGAAGGCAGTTCCCTGTAGGTGGCCTGAGGGGTCTCGACCATGGGCTTTCTTTGTGGGGCTCCAACCTCCCCTTTACCCCACCCTTATTATGTCCATGGCAGGGCAGAGGCTACTCACTGCAGGTCTGCCCCTGGATGATCTTGCCTCATCCATGCTGCCTGCCTCAAATGGGTCAGGTCTTCCTGGCCATCAGTCTGTATGTGTCCGTCCCTCGTCTTTGGGCTGGCTCCCGGGCACCTAACCTGATCCATCTGGGACTAACTGTAACTGAGCAAACTTAACAGAAAAGTGTCCAGCATCTGCCGATGGGCTCCTGGGATTCTGTTTCCCTGGACCCTTGGTTACTTGGGGGACTCGTCCGTCCCTTTTATCCTAGCAGGTGTGGGTACAGGCAGCTGCCCTGTGCCCAGGCCTCTGTCAACTCTCCTAGCATGACCTCCCTGGGGCCCAGCTGACCTGTAGTCAGGCTATCCTGGTCCCGTCAGCCAGCGTCACTTGCTTCCTCCTCCCGGGGGTCTGTGTTCCCCCACATTGTGCTCACTGCGGGGCGAGCACTGCGGATCCTTACCCGCAACTGTGATGCTACAGCTACATCACCATAGCAATGCATTCCCTCACTATGGCACATGGCTATGGCAATGTAATGGCTAAAAATAATCATGCGCTGCCGGCACAGCGCAGTAATGACTATTAATGCGCCGTCATATAGTACTTCCTAAAGGAAGTATTAAATGATGGTACAGTAACAATGGCACCGTAGGTTCACATGTAGACATGCCCACTATGATATAGCAAATGAATGCACATTCCAATAATGTTTCTTGTTTTGTTTTATTTTGTTTTTGCGTCAGTCTTAAATTGAATAATATAGCTCTAGGCCCCTACTTCTTAGTGAAGCCTCTAGTTTCATTTTAATTGAAGAAAATTGTGCGTTGTGTTATATGTGATGATGTACCACACCATATGTGCTCAATTTTTTTCAAAATTCTACATCTGCCCATGTTCATAGTAGCCATACTCCTGATCTTTAGAGTGCTGTACAGGAATCCAATGTGATATGGAATTTGCAACATCACTTTTAGTGCAAGAATTATTTTTTCTGAACCTTCCTTTTAAATGTGGACATGCTATATTGTCATCTGTTTTGCTCTCCTGTTTTTCAGTGTGAGATGAGTTAATATATATATATTTATTGTGGATTCAATGAAGTTTGTTTTCTTATGTTGTTTTCAGAAAGGGTCTGTCCAAAGGATCTACAGATAACTGCTTCCCAGGGAAGAATGGAGATTCTCTTCCAATACTTTTTACAAGAAATGTGCAGGAAGCTATTGACAATTTTAACTGGTATGCATTAACCTCTGAAGTAATATTAATTATTACTTATGCAATAAATATGTCTATATGAGATAATCTAATATAGCCAAGTATCACACTATAGCAAACCCACATAATTAACAGATTGGTTCAGTGCTTTGCATTAAAAATATTAAATATTTGTTATTTCTGCTCAGATTTAGTGTAGTTTTTTAGCTAACGTAATTAAGGCCAATGGAAGTCATTCCTTACAGAGAAAACATTTCAAGTCAGTTTCTTACAGAGGAAACATGCCCCATCCATGAGAAAGATCTGTGTGAAAGTTTCTCTTATTAGGGTTCAACTCTGTGATTGGGAGTTATCAAGCAGCAGCTACTTCTATGCTTTCCGGTACTTGGTGGCGGGGGGAGGCAGGGACATGACTCCCATCTGGGGGAAGGTGTGGGGTAGTTTCCCTGCAGTTCAGCTGCTGCTGCTCTTCCAGACTTCCCCAGACTGAAATTTTGTAGTGGTAGAAATGAATGTCTCTTCATGGCCTGAGTTTTCAGTTTTTCAAGTGAAACTTAGGCTATGCAGGCAAATCAGCAGATGAATTAGTTGAGATATCAGTTAAATACATGTATATGTTAGTCCGCTTTACTAAGTTCTTAGCTCTTCAAGTTGATAATTTCTGTCTACAGTCTGCATTTTCTGTAACATTTTGTAATTGCCTACTTTTCAGAACTTTTTTCTGAAAAAAATTCAGCCCTTGCTTTCTTAGTAATAAACAAAAAGGGACATTTTTTTTCTTTCTGAAAATGATTAATTATTATTGTGGTTAAAAGGAGTTGATTAAGGAACAGAATTGCCCAGACTCCGTGTAGTATAGAATCAAAGTAATCCTAGTTTATCTAAATTCTTGTTAATCGTGAATGTTTCTCAGGGTTTGAATTGTACTTTATTGCACTGTTGGACTGCACGTTTCCAAGCAAAGTGAATATGTGCCAGCCAGATTGGAGAAATGATGTTCCTACTTCTGAGTTCAGTAAAGAGAATGCTTGTATTGCAGATCAGCAAAGTTTATAAAGAGTTCTCACTCTAATGAGTGCTTCCTACAAATTAGCTATTTTGCTGCTGCCCTTATCTTCATTGTATTCCAGATTTGAGGGAGGCAGAGGTCAGCTTCGTAAAAGCGTTCTGACCAATCAACTCCCAGAACTAAAGGTTTGGGACATGTCCATTCTTTAGGTGTAAAATGTTTATTTATTTATAGGTACATATTATGACAATAATAATTGAAACTTTCCTTGTTATTTCCTTATCTCAGTTTTACATTATTTCTTACAGTGATTTTAAATAGATATAAGGTTTACTTTTCTATAAGTTTTTGGGCACTTTGGCTACACTGATTAACTGTGCTCAGAGGGCAGAAATTAAATGAATTAAAGGAGCTTAAAAAAGAATGTGTTTGAATTAAATGTTTGTATGCAGATTTGGTGTGCCCAGGCCATGGTTAAAGGAATGATCACTAACTGTAACCCCAAAGCATTCTAATGTTATAAAAGCCCAAGTCTGTCTGTCTGTTATGCTTTATTTGCACTATGATTGGCTGATAGAAACAGCCAATCAGAGTGTTCCAGGCATCAGGGAGTGCCACCATGATTCCATAGCCACACTGAGGACCGGACAGGGGCAAGAGGCAGAACAGCAACAGCATGGGGCGTTAGGTGGCGGCACTCCATCCCAGCCTGTGTTCCCCCTCCCCCTGTCATTCTTGATGGACAATTGGCTAGTAATACAATAAAAGTCTAATTTGGCCAATGGAAAACGTGACAGCAAGGTAATCATTCCTGTCCCAGGGATGCTGGGGTTAGAAGGGTACCCCGGGGCCGGACCAGGGGGGGAGTAACCACCTACTTACCCCACACAGAGGCTGGAGCGAGTAGGGACACGCGCACGGGGAGACCGCCAGCGCGGTTTGTGAGCTGCGCTTATATCCAGCTGGGGCCGGGCAACGCCGGCGGGAGACGCCGCCCGGCTGAGATAAAAGGCGGCCCCAGAAGCAGGGCCAGAGAGGAGGCGGGGGAAGCCCACAGGGAACCCCGAGAGCAGAACCCGTGCCAGCAGGGCACATGCATCTGGCCCGACGGGGTCAACCGAGGCAGCGGAGCTGACTGCAGTGGCTGGCCT